TGCCAATGGGCCACCCCTCGTCGTCGCTGGTTTGTATGTGTACACCCACACATGTGCTTAATCTGCCCGCCTTAACCCGCATGAAGAGCAAGGGTTGAGTTAGAGAAGCTCCCCCATAGGTAGTTAGCGGGATGCCCTGGTTGTGTGTAAATGGAGGATACTGTTGAGTTTTAAATGTATCTTGCGTTTTAAGAAAAAAGATGGTGGTGCCTTAGGTATGGTTTTAGATTCTTTATCTCACCCCCTCCTTTTTTCTTTTAAGGGTGGGGATGTTACGGCCGCAGCCGTTTTGAAGCCCAGAGGTGTGCTCCGCGCCGTTCCCTGTGCAGCAGCGCAGCACCACGGACAGCTACGCTCTGGGATGTTGTCCTTACTCCAGCACCATGGAGAGCGCCGGAGCGGCAGGCACAAGCAGCTGGGACTTTTTATCTCATCAGCCGGCCCTTCAAAAGCGGCCAGCTGGAGCTCATCAGGGGAGAGAAATGTTTGGAGTTGCAGAGGCAACGTTTGTTCTCTCCCCGTTGGCAGTTAACAGGTTGTTGTTGGCTTTTTGTAAAGAAGCAGCTTTAGAACCTTTTGTGTTTTGGGATAGTTGCAGTTAAGCGGTAATTTTGGTTTTGGTGTGTCTGCTAGACCATCTTGTGGTTTAGATTACCAGGTGGGGATTATTCCCCTTTTGAAGTCTCAGTTTCCTGAGCTATTTTTGTTATTTGGGTAACCTAAGTTAATTCAGCATTTGGTTTTGTCTGTTAGACAAACCTTGGTTAATTTAAGGGTGGGATTTTCCCCTTTTGCGTTTCATTCCCTTTTTAAATAAAGGAGATTAATTTTAAGAGTGGTTGGTCCTCTGGACATTTTCAGTTATTCGTTTAAACTCAGTTTGGTAAGGGTTTTTGGCCCTTCTTTTGGTACTTTCTTTTTGTAATAAAATCCTTGAAAGGAAACTTTGAGTTTGGTCTTGCTTGGACAAGCCTTTTTCTCCCCAACGAGGGTCACTTTTTGTTAGACTGGTCCATCTTATGTTTATTCCCCTCACCTTCCTAGCTGAGCCCATAGAGGGGTGTAACAAATGAGTTTCGAGCGGTTTATGATGACCCGGACCCTGGTGAGGACAACAGACAGTTCCGACATGCAGCTTACAATTTGTAGCATGGCAGCATGGAAAACTTGGTGGGGGGCGCTGGGTAGTAATCCCAAGCTGTGTTGTCTGGAGGATAAGGGAAAAATTCCCTGACCCCAATGGTAATTACACTGTTTTCTTCCAAGATTATTGTAAATACATGTATATATTTAATATTTTACATCAGTTTGTTTTTTATATATTTTTGTTTGATGCTCTAATAAAGTGTTCTAAAGCAAAATTCTGTGTTATTTGTAAAAATACCATAAATGTTAAACTCCTGCACAACAACAAAAACTGATGTCTATCTCCAGCATTTTACATACATTTTTAAATTATTAGTCCTTATTTCCCAAAAAATATTTTTATTTTTAAACAAAAAAAAAAAGAAACACAAAGATAATGAAGGTTTTGGGTTTTCTCTCGCCTCCCCCAACACCTATGTCTGCGGCAAAGTTTTACCTGCAAATAAAAAGTAAACTCAAGTAGCAATGGACTATTGTGTGGAAGATGTAAGGCAGATAATGTTTTATTTTACCATCACCGCAAGTCCGTAGGTGTTGTAGAAGTTCCTCTGTTGATGGTGCAGGAACTCCAGACAGCAAACCGTAACGCCTTGGATCCTCAGGCCTTAGCTTGTAGCGTCGAGGAAGACCTTTCTTGCTTGTCAAACGTTGGCTGACGATCATGGTTTGGATCTCTGGGATGTAGGAGAAGTCTTTTGCCACCTTCTCGGAATACAGCCTCCAGCATCTAGATTTTTTGTTGAATATTTTATGGTATCTCAAATGACACATGCCATAACTTGAGGTATCCAACAAATTAGCTGAAAAGTGTTTTAAATTAAATGAAAGGAATTACCTTATGTGTACATAAGGTGTGTAGTCCTCATCACCACCGTCTATCTCGATGGTTTCTCCTCCTCTGAAGACGAATCAACTTCTGGTTCGCTGGTGGCCATGTGTCATCTGATGACTCTATCCTGAATATACACAAAAAAAGTTTTTAGTATGGAAAATTAGACACAATTTATTAACATCTGAATACTTACACAGAGATTTGAATATTGTTGTACTCTTCCTCGTCAATGTTTTCTTCAATTCCCACACAAGATAACCTAAAAAAGTAATTATTGTTTACTTTTCCTGACAAATGTGACAGTCGTATACAGATACAACCTTGTACTTACATTTGTGAAGATCCTTCATTTTCAGTTTCACCTTGTTCCATCACCTCCTCCAAATTATCATACCTATGAAAATAAAATACAAGCACAAGAATATGATTAGAATCAATACATATTTTGTCATTTAAGGTAATAGACCTCGTCTATTGGCCGTCATCATCACCCTCTCCTTATTTTTCTCCCTCTACTTATCACGCATTTCTCTGTATCCACTGAATTCCTTCTTTACAAATAATTTCCTGTATTTTTCTTTACATTTTAAAAACACAATTGTGTTATTTTTTCTCATAAACTTTGTTTAAAATAAAAATATAAATTTTTATTTTAATATTTTTAATTTTGTTGTGAAGCGCCTCAAGAGTTTTATCTTGAGAGGCGCTAAATAAAATATAGTTTTATTTATTTATTTATTTCTATACATTTTTTATAGTCATTCGTTATCCCATTTCCAGAATTTCTTCAAAAAAAACCACCACTAACTTTAAACAAACAGGCAAAATTAAAATATTCCTGGTAGAGGCTTTTAGGCAGCTATTTACCTTTCAGATGATCCTCCATGAATGCTAGACAGAGCTGGCACTGGTGTTGGAAAAATAAACAGTTGGCGTTTCAATGGTGTTGATGCTGATGCTTCATATTTGGACTGATGACAGTAAAAAACAAAGCCCATATTAAAATAAAAAGTAGTGATCACAGGCTAAACAAGTAAAAGAAACACACACCATTATGTTATATAGCCATCTCTTAGTTTACACATCTATGTTATTGTAAGATATAATGAAATGAAGGTCAGAGAAACTACTAAATAATTGACTGTAGCATGAAGAGCATGCAAATCACATTATATTTTTACATTTTCCTGCTAAGACAAATCTAATTGTAATTGATAAAGTATCTCCTCAGCTAACGGAGTTCAACATGAGCTGTTAATCACTCCTTTTAATATGATTTGCTTTTTCAAAACAGGGAAACCTAATAAAATACTTGAATTTGGCATTCGACTATTGCTGACTGCAACAGGCTAAATAGTGTGATATCAGGCTAACTGACAGCCAGTGTGACCGTGTTTTGGACAGGTTTGTTGTCAGATACGTCTTTTTCCAACAGCTAATGTTTCTCCCCAGCCTTCACAGATTTCTGCACGAGCTGATTATCATTCCTATTATTTTAATATGGAGTTTTCACGTAGGTAAAACCACAAAACCATACAGTAATCTGTACACGTGGCCCACCCAGGTTAGCACAATATGTCTTTCAGTGCTAATGGAAACGTAAGGTTTTGGATACGTTCCTGATCAATCACACCTAATTCTAACTGCTGAATCATCTCCTCAGACTTCAACAAGTACTACAAGAGCTGCTGATTACACTTTCCTGAGCTGAGTGTTTGATTAAAATGAGTAAACATCTAATACAGCATTCAAGATGCTAACTGAACCCCGCTAACGCTGAAGTTATATACAAGAGCTTAAAACAATACACTGATATGGCCTATAGTTAAACGCCACACTAATCATTAGCTCCCATATAAATAAAACTAAAATTCCCTTTCGTTACTCAAGCATATTCCAGATATAGCATAAATAGTTCGACTAGCATCGATTCATGTCGAATTAGAATTCAAGCTAATGCTACATTAGCCAATAGGACACTAAGCATACAAAGCTTGTTTGATCTATTACTTCTTTCAGTGAAAGAAAGATTTTAAGTAAATTTATCCGAAAAACAATAAATAACTTACCTGTCCAAATTATACTTTGCCAACTTCATCCGTTTTCAGGCCGCGTAGATCACGAAACAGTGAGCCGAGTGAAGCGCGTGACACTGCCATGCTTGTGCACGCTGAGATCTAATGCTCGTTCTCGATGGACAGCTGCCCCTGGTGGTAATGCAGCGCTATTGGTCAACGCGTTAGGCTTGCAGAAATATTGGCTGAGCTCTACAGGGCAGGGGAGGGACTTAGGAGAAAATTGAAATATTAAAGATTATTTACTTCTTTTAATAAAACTAGGTCAGATGGTCAAAATTAAACATTGTTAAAGTTATTTCACATTTAAAACTTACGTACCCTGCCTTTAAGTGACACTATGACAGCGACAGACTGAGCGGGACGCAAACCTACGACCTGGTTGCAAGGCGACCTCTTAACCACCATCGCCCCCTTAAGTATATCAGTCAAAAGTTTAAATACAAGTATGATAATATACTTAAACTTTTAGTATACTTCTTAGCATGAGCCTTTTAGTATACTTTTTAGTATAAGTAACAAACTTAGAATATCTCCAAGTAAGTACACTTAGAGTAAACTGAAAGTATACTCTCTTCTTTTTAGTTTACAATTAGTATACTTGAAGTACACTTGCATATACTACTTTTCGGTAAGGGTATAGATCTATGGCCGAGTTCATAACAGTTAAAAGTGAGGATCTCCACTAGCTGTTATGTTGAATCCAAATTCCATTTTCATTTGTTTTTCAGTTCCTAGAGATTCTAGAATTTGTACACATTTTTAACTGATTTAGGTTCATTTTTGATAGTACTTTACAATACTAACCACTACTTCCTTCTGTGGTACATTCACATATAAGTCTGATTACTAACACTGATTAACTTCTTGTGTTTATTCTTCTATTTTATTTCTAGTTCTTTTATTAATACATTTCTTTACATAAATATTTACAATACACTGATTACCTTTGGTTTGAACATCTTTGACTTCTACTTGCTGCTGATGAAGCTGTGAGAACAGAGGTTTCTCTTCATCCTCCACACTCTTTATAGAAGCCAATGTGAATGGAAACCTGGCAGCATCTGTTTTCTCCTCCAAATGGAGCTGCTCTCCCTCCAGACTGGTCCACTTTTCTTCTTGTTCCTCCTTCATGTGGATGTGTTCTGGGTCTTTCTGGTCCACACCTGTACTCTGTTCCTCAGGAGCTTCTTCTTTAACCAGCACCAGCTGTTGAACATCTGTAGGAAACACAGAAGCATGATGTGAATTACCGATCGATGGAATTTTACATTCACACTTACTCTCACCTAAAGGATTACTAAGAACACTTGTTCAACTTCTCCTTAATGCAATTATCTAATCAACCAATCACATGGCAGCTGCATCAATGCATGTAGGGGCGTGGTCCTGGTCAAGACCATCTCCTGAACTCCAAACTGAAGGTCAGAATGGGAAAGAAAGCTGATTTAAGCTATTTTGAGCGTGGCATGGTTGTTGGTGCCAGACGGGCCGGTCTGAGTATTTCACAATCTGCTCAGTTACTGGGATTTTCACCCACAACCATTTCTAGGGTGTAAAAAGAATGGTGTGAAAAGGGAAAAACATCCAGTATGCGGCAGTCCTGTGGGTGAAAATGCCTTCTTGATGCTAGAGGTCAGAGGAGAATGGGCCGACTGATTCAAGCTGATAGAAGAGCAACTTTGACTGAAATAACCACTCGTTACAACCGAGGAACGCAGCAAAGCATTTGTGAAGCCACAACACGCACAACCTTGAGGCGGATGGGCAACAACAGCAGAAGAGCCCACCGGGTTCCACTCATCTCCATTACAAATAGGAAAAAGAGGCTACAATTTGCACCAGCTGACCAAAACTGGACAGTTGAAGACTGGAAAAATGTTGCCTGGTCTGATGAGTCTCCATTTTTGTTGGGATATTCAGTTGGTAGAGTCAGAATTTGGCGTAAACAGAACGAGAACATGGATCCATCATGCCTTGTTACCACTGTGCAGGCTGGTGGTGGAGGTGTAATGGTGTGGAGGATGTTTTCTTGGCACACTTTAGGCCCATTAGTGCCAACTGGGCATGGTTTAAATGCCACTACACTCAGCTTCAAGGGCTGATTTATATATAAAATAAACAGTCAATGATGAACAGGGGTCTGCTTCTAGACCTGCAGAAAAGGGACACACAACAATACAACAGGAGCAAGCTATCACTGCGTCAACTTGATGAAGAAATATAAAATCAACATTGTTTTACTGAACAATCACACTATAATAAATCACAGTGCATTAAATGTCAACCACAGCCTTAAGACGTGTTGAACATGCCCAAGTCATGTGAGCACCAGTGTGCGTACACGCGCTTGTACAGGTCCTTCTCCAAAAATTAGCATATTGTGATAAAGTTCATTATTGTCTGTAATTTACTGATAATTATTAGACTTTGGTATATTAGATTCATTACACACAACTGAAGTAGTTCAAGCTTTTTATTGATTCTAATATTGATGATTTTGGCATACAGCTCATGAAAACCCAAAGTTTCTATCAAAAAAAAAATTAACATATCATGAAAAGGTTCTCTAAACGAGCTATTAGCCTAATCATCTGAATCAACTAATTAACCCCAAACACCTGCAAAAGATTCCTGAGGCTTTTAAAAACTCCCAGCCTGGTTCATTACTCAAAACCGCAATCATGGGTAAGACTGCCGACCTGACTGCTGTCCAGAAGGCCATCATTGACACCCTCAAGCAAGAGGGTAAGGCACAGAAAGAAACTTCTGAACAAATAGGCTGTTCCCAGAGTGCTGTATCCAGGCGCCTCAGTGGGAAGTCTGTGGGAAGGAAAAAGTGTGGCAGAAAACGCTGCACAACAAGAAGAGGTGACCGGACCCTGAGGAAGGTTGTGGAGAAGGACCGATTCCAGACCTTGGGGGACCTGCGGAAGCAGTGGACTGAGTCTGGAGTAGAAACATCCAGAACCACCGTGTACAGGCGTGTGCAGGAAATGGGCTACAGGTGCTGCATTCCCCAGGTCAAGCCACTTTTGAACCAGAAACAGCGGCAGAAGCGCCTGACCTGGACTACAGAGAAGCAGCACTGGACTGTTGCTCAGTGGTCCAAAGTACTTTTTTCAGATGAAAGCAAATTTTTCATGTCATTCAGAAATCAAGGTGCCAGAGTCTGGAGGAAGACTGGGCAGAGGGAAATGCCAAAATGCCTGAAGTCCAGTGTCAAGTACCCACAGTCAGTGATGGTCTGGGGTGCCATGTCAGCTGTTGGTCCACTGTGTTTTATCAAGGGCAGGGTCAATGCAGCTAGCTATCAGGAGATTTTGGAGCACTTCATACTTCCATCTGCTGAAAAGCTTTATGGAGATGAAGATTTCCTTTTTCAGCACGACCTGGCACCTGCTCACAGTGCCAAAACCACTGCTAAATGGTTTACTGACCATGGTATTACTACTGTTCTCAATTGGCCTGCCAACTCTCCTGACCTGAACCCCGTAGAGAATCTGTGGGATATTGTGAAGAGAAAGTTGAGAGACGCAAGACCGAACACTCTGGATGAGCTTAAGCCGCTATCGAAGCATCCTGGGCCTCCATAACACCTCAGCAGTGCCACAGGCAGATTGCCTACATGCCAAGCTGCATTGAACCAGTCATTTCTGCTAAAGGATTCCCGACCAAGTATTGAGTGCATAACCGAACATAATTATTTGAAGGTTGACTTTTTTGTACTAAAAACACTTTTCTTTTATTGGTCAGATGAAATATGCTAATTTTTTTAGATAGGAATTTTGGGTTTTCATGAGCTGTACGCCAAAATCATCAATATTAGAAACAATAAAAGGCTTGACCTACTTCAGTTGTGTGTCATGAATCTAATATATATGAAAGTCTACTGTTTACCAGTATATTACCGTGATACGCAAGGACTGCTTTGCAAATAATGCAGGCAATCTTTTTATTCGCTGAATCCAGGCTAGAATGCTTCCAAACTTTAGATGTTTTGGTACGCGTAGCTGCTGTGTCGGACGCCGCCATTTCTGTTGGTTGGCGCTCAGTAGAGAAGCTATTGCGCATGTGCGACTCTCAGCAGAGATTGTAATGAAGTGAGATGCCTCACTCAGTCGGAAAAACACGTCTGGCGACAACGTTGACAATGAAATTCATTGTCGACTATTTCTACTGTCGACAACATAGACGAATCGTTGCAGCCCTACTATTTGGTCCAAACAAGACTGCTTCTGTTTTGCTTTCATTGAGAAACAAGAAGTTCTCAGCCATCCATGCCTTGACTTCATTCAAACAGTCCATAAGTTGTTTGATAGAACGGTCTGATGTACAAAATCTAATTACTTCACTGTGTTAAATAAGCAAAAAGAAGATGATTATGAATCAACACAGAACGAATATACAGAAGAAGTAACACAATAATGTAAAGCAGGTGGGCAGAACCAGAGACATGAGCCGTTTGTACGAAACAAAACCAGCAATTTGCTGCAACGCTGGAGCGGCATCAGGGAGCGTTAGGTCGTTTAGAAGTGGTCAGACCGTGGCGGTTATGTCCCTGTGCAGTCTCTGGTGATCTGACCTCTAGCTCTAACGGAGAAAAGCTACAGGAGCTCTGGATCGCTCCAGATCATCATCTCAGCCGACTTTGTTCAAATCATATCATCAAACTTTATTCGTATAGCACTTTTCAAACAAAAAAAATGCAGCTCAAAGTGCTTTACAGATAAAAATGACCACATATAACCTATATTCCCATCCCTTCCCCACAAATATAAAAACATTTGACAGTTACATCCCCCATCCCTTTTGTCAGGCACACACACACACACACACACAAAACCTTAAAAACAGCACAAGTAAACACTAGGCCAGGGGTCCTCAATTATAATGGTCTGTGGGCCACTCACAAAAGGACCCAGAAGCCAGAGGGTGGGGGGGGGGGGGGGGGGGGGGGGGATGCACATAACACACAAGCTTGCAATATAAAGCAGGACAACACCTGTCCCCCTCCAGCTCGGCTGTGTGACTGCACTAACCTGTCCTGTGGGACCCTCATGTCCATGCTGTCTCTGGAGGAGCAGATAGGAGACAAGACCTCCTGTAACTTCAAATGAACCAAAGCTTCCTCCCAGTTTCTCTTTAAGCTGAATTTAGCATCAGTTTATCATCATGAAACAAAAGAATAAAGGGGAACAAGAACTTCTATCTTCTATTTCTCTCTCCTTTTAACTTCTCCGTGTCCCTAAATAAAAGAGACAGATGATTACGCTGCAGCCGCCGTCACTGACCCCGCCCCCTCCCCAAGACCGGACCTCCCGACATCACAGCACGTCCCCCCTGTGCCCCCCAAAAATTACGTCCATGGATGAGGGACAGTTCCTGCTGGAGTTGGTGGACATGCAGTCATCACTTACGATGCCGCTGCGCACAAATGGCCCCGCTAAGTTTTGGAGTCAGATCAATGCCCATCAGTTCCCAAACCTCAAGAATGTAGCTGTGACTGTTCTCAGTACGTTTGGATCCACCTATATTTGTGAATCCAGCTTTTCCCATATGAATGCAATCAAAACAAACCTGCGCTCCTCTCTCACTGAATCCTTTCTGCACTACTGTCTGCGCATTGCACTCAGCTCATAGGGCTGCAACAACGAATTGATAAATTCGATGAAAATCGATTACTAAAAGCGTTGGCAACGAATTGCATCATCGATTCGTTGTGTCGCACAACTCTTCCAAAAGCCCCCGCCCGTTGCGGGCAGACTGGAGCAAGTCAGATCAGCGCGAGGGAGAGCCGGGTGAAGCAGCGAGACCCAAAAAAGTAAAAACTTCTAAAGTTTGGGAGCATTTTCAGTTAAATCAGGCGAAGACATCCGTTACCTGCAACGTTTGTAGGTCAGACTTAGCATGGCACAAGTGCTACAGTGATGATGCAGCATCTTAAACGCAAGCATGCAGAATCATCAGCGAGGAAGGAGAGAGCTCTGTGTCCGGGTAAGTTAAAAACTTTTCAAAAGTGATTCACCCAAGCCCCGGATTATTACACAGGCTAGACATGCCCTAAGCTCGTAAAAAAAAGTCTATAAAATCGAGAGCGCGACGCTAATAGATGAGCCGGGGGGGGGGGGGGGGGGGGCTCGCTCTGCTTCGAACCGGTTCCGCCGTCACATTCCCGCAGAAACTGGTTGATCACACCGGGGCCAGACTACTAGTTTTACAACCACAATGTCCTCGGAAGCAAAAACGCTTTTAAAAGGGAGGGAGGAGTCCTAACTGTTGCTGCAGGCGTGTTGTGTGAGAGTGCAGTTATATACTGGTTAATATATTTTTGGGTTCAATTGCTTTCATGTGGCCTAATGTGAGTCTATTTGGGATCATTAGAATGATCAGCAGCATTTCTTGATGTGACTTTATGGCAGTTGCCCAGGGCATCATCACAAGGAGGATGGCATACATTTACTTTTGTTTTATTTGGTATTTTTTCAGTCATTTTTGGAAATAGTGATTAATTTTGATTAATTCACAGCCTATGTTTAATTACATTTAAAAATTAGTTGTTTGACATCCCCAGTTATAATAAATGTCTACAGATGAGATCAAACAAAACAGATGAGAATTGCCCTTAAAGGGCAAGTCACCCCCAAATAAACTTTTTTTTTTTGCTGATAAACTAAATAAACGAGTGTCTAATCGTGCTGCAGACACGTGTCGTCAATAATTTGGCACTTCAGTGCATCTTAGTTCAAATTTAAATATTCTGCCTAAAACTGGCAGTGCTGTGCCGTTGTCAGGTAAAAACTCTGCACTGTATTTTAATTTAAATCTGCCACCGCTATTGGCTAAGAAGTATGCTATGATGTAAACTGGTACATTATGATGTCACAATGCTGTTGTGAGCCTGAGTGTGTATTTGTTAGCAGCTCCGCCCTCTCGGTCTGCCAGGCAACAGCATGTGTTGCATTTTTCAAACATGAAGTGGGAGTGGAGTTAGACTCTGGTAGGGGTTGACTTGCTCTTTAAGCTGTTTAACTTGGACCAAGCATTTTAGGTCACAGATAGGTGTAGCTTAGGGTCTCTGTCTATACACCTTATAAGACAATTTAGGTGATGGCATGTTGTTTTTCTGCTATTGAACTGTTTTCTAATAATGTTGTGTTTAATAAAGTGAAGGAAGGAGAGAAATAACGTTTCCCGAGCAGTTTTTAAAAATGTCCCCATGTAATCCGATTAATCGATTAATCATGTCGAGACCCCATCCGATTCCTCGATTATCCAAATAATCGTTTGTTGCAGCCCCACTCAGCTCCTATGAGCCAAATATTCCATTTCTTGTTCAAAACAAAAAGTGCCACCTCTCGCACTAAAGTTGCAAGAATAACGGTCAAGCTATGGTTATTGTAAATGTTTATTTAGTAGCTGCGAATGAGTTATTGGAGGTTAATAAAATAAATGTTTGTATTACCAGCTCTGCAGCTGGTAAATTAATACAGATCATTGAAGCAATAAAAGACATTGTGCGTTGCTTTTTTTTGTCGTATAAGTGGCAGAGGTAATATCAGTCAAAATATTAAAATTTAATATTTATACATTGTCCGTAAAATATATAATAAAAATTTGGGTATCCGGCCCAAAGCTGATCCACGATTTTGAAATCTGGCCCAGTAGTGAAAGTAATTGAATAGGCCTGGTCTAGACTGACGGACTGAGACATTCTGCTTAAAGTGTCATTATGAAATAAATCAGCCATGGGGAAAAACACTATTGTGAAATAAAAGCTGTCTTTGTGAAAAAGACGTTATGTAATAAAAACGGAATGAATTAAATAAAAATTCCTCAATATTAATTTGGATTATTATAAAAAATGACTTAAAAAACTTTATATTATTAAAGACATTTAAAAGAAGAATGAAAAATATTTCATAACACTGAGCTTAGATTTTACATAACATCCTGTTATAACATTGTCAGATTACATGATCGTCTGGTATTTCTTCATGTAGATATTTATTTCATAATGTCTTCTCCATCCATTCGTACCTGTCCAGAACACACACACACACACACACACACACACACACACACACACACACACACACACACACACACCAGTACCTGTGTCCATGCTGATGGATGATCCTGAAGTGGTAGCAGGTTTTCTTTAGCCGTGTTTAGCTAACAGCTGCAATAGAAACAAAGCAGGAGAGCTGATTAAGATGCTGCTTCAGAACAACGCAGGAGATTAAAGATCCAACGCTTTGGTTCTGATCAGCTGAGGACACATCCAGTCTGGAAAAGAGGACCTTTGCTCACCAGAGTTCACGGAGTAGAGCTAACCGCTTTTTTCCTCCAGAGTCACATTCAGATTCGGGGCTTTTCCGTCGGAGAGTGTGAGCAGGATGGATGAGAGAGCGAGCAGCGATCCTGCATCATGACCAACTCAGATGAGCGAGTCTGATAGAGGGAACCTCTTCAGTCTGATGAAAGCAGCAAAACGAGCGCGTTTCTCAGAGAGGCCAAAGGAACAACAACAAGCTAGCACTGCTAGCAACTTCTGGTTTCTGCTTCTTCCGGTGGTCGGTGACCAGCATCTTTAGCGCCACCTGCTGGACTGGAGGCTGACTGATAAACCACACAACTTCCTCAGACAATAGTTTTACGTGTCATAATATTTTATTATTTTAGGCAGTGTCTTCACGTTCCCTGCTGACAAGTAAAATACTTTTTTCTTTATAATGTTTCATTATCTAAATTAGACCAAATGTAATTTTCCCTTCATTTTGTGACCTATAGACAAACTGAAAAAGATTTCCTGCAGCAGAAACCTATCTGCTAAATACATAAACATAAACATACTGTAAGTGGTCGCCAGCAGGTGTCAGATTCACGTAATATAGACCACATATCTAGGGTTGGTAACCCAGAAGTGATATTGACATTGGCCTTCTGCTCCATTTGGCGTGTGGCAGCAACTTCCACCTCCACATGAGTATGTAAAAACGTATTGTGATTATGTGTACCGAAATCGGGCGTAAAGAAATCAAGAGATATGGACTTCTCTTTACATGCTTGACTTCACGAGCGGTCCATTCTGAAATGTTGACAGAACTTACTACAGATGCCTTTCTTAACGGTCTGCGATGTTTTATTAGCGTAAGAGGAACTGTTATAGTCAGTTACATTGTGACCATGGTACTAATTTTGTTTGAGCCAGAAGCAAACTTTTGAAGATTCTAAAACAGCGTGAGGACGTTAAACTATGAGCTTTTTTGTTGGAAAAACAATGTGAGTTTGTTTTCAATGCCCCTTCGGCAAGTCATGTGGGTGGCATTTGGGAACGCAAGATCTGAACCATTCGTAACGTAATGAATGCTACGATTGCACAAGCGTCCCATGGAATGGATGATGCATCTCTTAGGATTTTGCTCTATGAGGTTTTTGGCTATTTTTAATAATCGTTCACAACATTAACACCCCTAAAGCACCAGAACCTCTCACACCAAGCCATCTAATTCTTATGAAATCCAAGGTTGCCTTGCCACCACCTGGGAGATTTGTAAAGGAATATGTCTATGCGGTAAAAAGATGGCGAAGAATTCAGTTTCTTGCGGAGGAGAAAATCTCTGTTCCTTTAACATGGGTTTCACTAGCTGCGTTTACATGGACACATTTAATCGGAATACAAGCCTGATCGGAATTAAAATGGGTCATGTAAACAAACCATTCAGAATACTCTGACCCGATTAAACTCAATCGGATCAACTTTTCATTCCGATTGAGACAGCTGGGTTATGCCGATTGTTAATCCGATCACGGTGCATGAAAACACTCGAGTGACTACTGCGCATTACTGCGCATGTCAGTAACGTCACACGTTTATGTACGTACGTTACGTTGTCGTTTACGGAAGTCGGAAAACATGGCGGGAGCGAAACAAAACTGGTCTGTTTCAGACACAAATGCACTGCTGGATGTACTCAAAGAACTAAAAATTGTAGAAAGACTTGATGGTAGGAAACCTAGAAACTCTGAGTTATTCAATCAAGTTCATGAACGCTTGAAGGAAGCGGGGATCGATCGAACGGTTGAACAGATAAAAAACCGATGGAAAAGTTTGAAGACCGCGTACTACAATGCCAAGAATCACAACAGTAGAAACGGGTTCAACCCTTCCAGTTTTCCTTGCTACCGCGCAATAGACGAATTCATGGCGGCGAGGCCGTTGTCAAATGTGCCTTTATTTGGCGTGGAAGTTGGGTTCGAGGACGAGGTGGTGGACAGATGTAGCACACCCATGAGCCAGAGCCTTAATTCACAACAAATAGTCTGATATGGTTTAAGGTTAAAGCCTTTGCTTATCAGCTCAAATACACAATGATCAAATATTTAGTTGACTTTACAGGCCGAGTTAGCATTCAAGCTAGCCCTACATTAGCTGATGGCAAACGCAGCAAATAATTAGCTGCACCATTACTTCTTATATTTAAATTTCAAAAATCTGGTACAATACTTTATTTACCTGTCCAAATATAAGTTTGCCAACACAGCTTACTGAAGCTTTTTAGGTTAGCTTTTATCTAAATATTTTCTACAGTTTTATTTCTCGTTTTACATGATTATATTTTATTACTTGCTTTGCATGTCCTATATGATTATACTTTAGCACAGTTTTATTATTGAAATTATTATTTTACTGTCTATATCATTTTATTTATTACTTATTTTCTAATTTTTGTCATTTACATTAGCTCTTTTATTACATTTTTACTCATTTTAATCCAGTGTTTCATCTGTGGGGGCCCTCTGCCCCGGGAGCGGTGGTCGACTGTAGCTTCCTGGGCGCTCTATAGGAGGGGGTCTATGCTCCCCTTCCACTGAGCGCCCTGACTTACCCCGGGTTTCCACGGGAGCCGTCAGCAACACGTTACTGCAGCAGCACGTCTTGCTCGCGTAAGCTGCTGCTTGGTCCTTCCCACGAGACGCAAAGCAGCAGGGGAGCAGCTGTCACCGACCGAGCACAAAGTCACACGAGTGACTTCGTCAGTAAACACAACAACAAGCAGGAGAAAACTACAACATGGTTTGTGTTTTATGTTCTGTCCGTTTTATAATCGCCAATACGGACCTGAAAAACAAAGGAGACCGCTAGCTAGGTGATAACTTCTCACGGGGACGCACACTTAGTAACCTTTTTAAAAGTAAAGCAACCGGAAGGCAGTACCTTCTTTATTCTGAAAATCTCGGGAGCTTCTCTCCATTTCCGCGTCCGATTTCCTGTCTTTCCTTCCCCAAAAATGTCGAACTTGACCCGTTTCAGAGGCGTTGCGCGTAGAAAATAGAACCGGCGCGTAAAGGCCGCGACATGCTGCTCCTGAGACGCGGCCGACTCGCGCTGCTGACGGCTCCGGTGGAAAAGGTTCTGTTGACCACAGCGGTTCCTATCAGCAGCACGTTACTGCAGCAGCACGTCATAGCTGCTGCAGTAACGTGCTGCTGACGGCTCCGGTGGAAACCCGGGGTTAGTGTGGAAGACCTGATGCTGCCGGGACAGACGGCTCCTCTGATGGCGTTTCCTTGCGTTACCATACTTGGCTCATCTGGACTCAGCCTAATATAATTTTTACTTGTGTGTGTGTGTGAGTCTGTGTGTGCGTGTGATTGCATATGTTTGTTAATGTTTTTAACCTGTTATGGGAATCTGGGGTCATTTTGTAAAGCACTTTGAATCACACTTTGTTTGAAAAGTGCTTTAGAAATAAAATTTGATTGATTGATTGACTGATTGATTGAAGCGCATCCTCGCTGACTGATAGCTCAATTTGATGATTATGAAACTCAATCGATCAACGTGAGAGGCCCGCATAATGATTGATTTAGCTGTAGAGGCTAGGGGAGAAAAAATTATGAAAGATTACCTGTTACGTACAGTGCCCCTTTTCAGCCACAGGATGGCCTCGGTGGCTTTGCCTCGCCTGTCTCCCGGTGTAACAGGTGTTTGTAATCGCTCCTAATCAGGGAGAAGCTGTTAAAGGCTGATGTCCTCCCTCAGTCAGGGAGAAGGCACAGGGAAGTTCGAGCACGGAAGTGTTCTTACTTCTCTCTTCTCCTCGTGTGCTGGTGTGTGTGCTGCTTGGTGGTACTTTGGTGATTTAGTGATTTACTCTCGATAATTAGGATTTCTGGTAACTCTGACTTCGGACTGGCCTTTGACTCCCCCTTTTGGATTTCCCCTGAGCATCTCTGCTTAACAGGACGTCTCTTGTTTAGTGTTTGTATATTTATTGAATTTAGTGTTTTATTAATAGTAAATATTTCAGTTAGATATTTTTCTCCTCCCTTGGCGCTTTTTGTTAACCCTTTTTTCCCTTTATAGGCGCTTTGTGTTTAATAAAAATCCTTTGTTTGAGACACAAATACTCTGTTATTATTTACCTACACACAACCTCTCTCACTCCCTCTACCACATCACTCCTAGAGAGCTGAGGGACGTAACATTACCTTATAGAAAGTCAAATTTAAGAATTATTGAAAAATATTCTAAGTATTTCAATTACGGACTATAGCTTTAATTATGAAATTATTTGAACAAAGATGGCAAGGTGTGGTACTGATTGCACTAAGAGACCATCCAAGAAGTCTTTGCTTCATTTTTTTCATTAACATTATAGTTCAGTTCTTCATTTTGCTGGTTGAATGGGTGGACATGCTGTGCATTCATGTGCATTTAACAAAACATAGGTTGCCGCAGTCAAAAGGAGGTTTGGTGATGTGCCCCTCCCTTTAACAGCAGTAGCCCTGCGATCAGGGATCTGCAAATCTGATGCTCCATCCTCCCGAAGGCAGCCCAGCAAGGTGGGTGCCCGGCTTCACCTGTCTCTTGGTCCGGTTGCTGGACACAGAGAGGCGCCCGCTCCCGTCTCCTGAGGCAGCCGAGCCATAAACATGACTGTCTTGTCTTGCCTGGCCTGGCCTGGCCTGATCTTGTCTTGTGTAACGTCCAAAAGGGTAAATTTTCTCCTAAATATTGACCAACTTAATAACCTTTCATCTACAGAAATACATTCACTGTCTAGGTGACCTTCTAAATCCAGAACGTCATGACGAGCTGTTTTCCATCAGCCACCATACCTGCTCTCCTGGATAAACTTCCTGGTCTGCTGTGCTCCATCCCAGCTTCAGTTAAAAGAGTGATCATTCATGTGATCAAACGATGTCACACGCCGGGAGACTGTCATCACTCAACAGCATTTTAACCATCTCTGACATTCTGAAGAGCAGTGGAATGTCTGTTTTCATCTCTGGCCCGATCCCCACAGTTTCTCATGGATATGGATGTTTTAGCCATCTGCTCTCACTCCACTCCTGGCTTCAGTCTGCTTGCAGGTCCCACAGTTTCGGTTTTATAGATAATTTTAACCTGTTTTGGAACTGTTTCTCCTTTTTCAGGAGAGATGGTATTCACCCTAACCTACATGGCTCAAGCATGCTAACCGCTAACATCCGGTATGCTGTACAGTCCCATATATATACATCTATGGTGGATTCCCTTCCACAGACATGACGGTTTACATCCTAGAGATCTTCACTTTCTCGGCCTTTGCTCAAACCTCCACTTCAAATAACATCATTCCCTACAGTTCTCCCACTTCCTGTCGGTAACAAGATGGTGCCTGTGCTTGGATTAGCCGTGGTCACCGGCCAATTTTTCAAACTTTTCTCCACTAACCTCCTCTTTTCCACCTTGCTCCTGTCTGCGATCCTCTTCAGTAGTGTCCCTGCTACCATCTCCTATGATCGCCAGACTCTTTTGTCCTTCCGTTCGTTCACGATCGCCCAAGATGCACCGAGGACGTACCTTCCTGTTTGTTTACCTGAGAGAAGTGCTGGCCCGCAGCAAAATGATTCCTACCAAGACGCCTCCAGCAATGTTTATCCGGTCCCGGGAAAACGTCGGAGGAAAAGAGGTAAATGAGCAGGAATCCAGGTGAGAATAAGACTTCTCTTAAAGCGTGGTTTATCTAGTAAACATCGGCGTGATCTTCTAGCTTCTTGTCCTTTGTTTGGCGACTTCAGCGCCACTTCCGCATTCCCGCCAGGCCGAGTTGCAGCGCGGTTTCTCCGTCAAAGTTTTTTAAGGTCTGTTTATCCTCATTCTTCAGTGGCTTCTCCTCCTGTTCCCTCCATAAGTGGTTTTTATAAACACCGTGAATCTAACCCTGCTAATTTACGTCCACTAACTCCAGCTGTTTCTGTAGTTTCTGATTCCTCCACCTCACTCAGGCCCCATGAGATGTCTAAGCTGCAGCTGTTACACCTGATACACCAGAGACCTTCATCAGGAATTCCTGATGAAGGTCTCTGACCAAAAGCTTGACCAATAAACCAGAGTCACAGAATAATAACAAAATACGAACATGGAATGAACCTTCGTTTGAATTAAAAAACACCAGATGGTACCCAGACAAAATCGTTTTCCATGCATCTAATACTGTTTTTATCCAACATTCGCCCCTGTTCAAACGATGGTCATCCTAACTAATTGGTGTAATAAAAACAACAACAACTATTCTATGATTACGGGTAATGGTCGCAGCTGCAAAGAATCAACCTCTAACACACAGAAGACCACAAAAGAAGTAGTGACCTTTATAAAGGGCTATAAAAAATAAGTAACAACCTGTAACAAAATTAAAGCAGCTCCAATAGTTGGCAACCTGTAATAAAATGAATGATTATAGCAGTGATTATATCAAACTCAAGGATTATACCAAAAATCAAAAGACAACGATTATACTGATTAAGTAAACATATAAAAGAACATAAAATCAACTGTGCTGATCACCAGGACATCAATCAACAATGGTTACAGAAACTGCAGTTCACATTGTAGACATCATAATGAAACCAGCTTTATTAGGAAAAATATGAACTAAAGCATCTGTCATGAGCTTGTCAACCATTCTCTTACCCCAAACATGGCTTAAACACAGCTTAAAACTAAGTAAATCATGACCATGATAAAGATAACAGTAACAAACATTGTCAAAAAACCGATACCAATTTCTTTTTGACAGCCACTCTATGAAGCACGGGAGGTGTCGGGGGCTTAGCAGCTCTAACTGGGGCAGAGCCGAGGTTCACAGGGCTTATCAGTCGGGATTATGTGGGACTGCAGTGGGGGCAGAGCAATGAAGACCACGTTGGGATGGTGTTGCACTTTCGTCGATGATGATGCAGATGAATCCCGGTGGTGGGGCTGTTGATGTGAGGGGCTTGGTTTTTGTTGGTGGAGAAGGGGCAAAAGGTCATAACAGACCCAGACTCTCTTACTTCAGCTCGAATGTCCTCGTAGGGACGCCGTCCTCATGCGATGTGAGGCGGGTGGCAGGGAGCCAAGCTGCACTTTAGGCCACACCAGTTGTGTGGCAGGAGAGAGAGCCATCCTGAGCAAAAGGCGTGTGTCAGCAACTTTGATGTTGTTATAGCAACGTGGGATCCTTTGACGGCAGGGACGGTGAGGGGATGTCTTTTTGGTCAGGGAGCCATGAAACCAGACGGGAGATTTGGGGCGCTGGAACTTGACATCGTTGGAGGCAGGTCACAGTGTCATGTGGACGGGCTCAGGAGGAGCCTCATCCACCAGTTGTCGATTCCGTTGCTACCCCAACTGCTGCTGTTTCCACTCGTTCTGTCAGATGCTGAGGGGCGGTTCCAGGGTAGAGTGCGACCACCAACATCAGCAGCGGTATGGTGGACCCTGCAAGCTTAAGGCAGATCGTTTACTTATCTGCCATCCTCGGTGAGCTCGCATGAGGATGGTGCAGTCGTGGCGGCCCCGCTCAGCAGTTCCGCAGCAGTGGGAGGGATGAGATGAGTGACCTTGATGCCCCATCTGGTAGCAGCACTTGCATCAGGACCCCAATCTCCTTGGTTTCACGGCCGGTAGCGAGAAAGCACAAAAGAGTCTGCGAGATCACTGTGGAATGTGACTTGTCTTCAGCAACTACCATCCAATATTCTTTCAAATCAGTCCAATCGGGACCCCCAGTGGGGCTGAAATTCACCAGAAACTGACCACCTCAGTCCACATGGTATCATCCTAAGCTAAAATCAAGACCACACACACATGTGAGGTCAGCATACAAACAGGACGAAGAAGGCTGGGCCCCCTCCAGTTACAGAGTTACAAAATACTGAGATGGACAGAAAATGCCCTGAGACATTCTTTTATGTGTTAAAAAGGACCGTGATATACAGGAAAAAACCTAGCATTGCGTTCCCCCTGAACGTAACTGTTTGAACAACAAAAGATAAAATAATAACAATAAACACAATGTCATATCAAAAGACCTGAGTAAGATGCCAGTAACTCAAAAGTCAATTAGTGAGTTAGAATTGTGACTCAGTTTATCAATAAACCACATCAAAGCATATTCATTAACTCATGTTCCGTGATATATTAAACTAACCTACACCACTAATTAAAATAACTAGGGCCGGGACTTTAACGCGTTAATCACGATTAATTAATTAGAAAAAAATAACGCGTTAAAAAAAATTTACGCATTTAATTGCAGCTTGCATTTCAAGCACGGCAGAACCTTTGTCATTGCACGATTTCCTCGTAGACTGAATATCACTGACGCACACAACAATGCACAGTGCTAATGGCTACTAAAACCGAATAAAAACAGAAAGAAGTTGCCTTGCTTGGACTGATGCAGGATTTAGGAAACACGTCCGCCTCTTTTCTTAACTTGGAAAAAAAAACTTCCAGACAACAACGGAGTCCGTGTCGCGGACATTTTTCAGAGATCGTCTCTGCTGCGGCCGCCCGGTGGCAACGGGAACTTTACAAAAGTTGCGGTAAGCTATATTTTTAACATTTACGTAACATCTGTGCAGCGCTGAAAGCACCAGACAGAAAAATTCTGTGCCCTAACAGTAGTTTATGAAAGTAGTCAGACAAACGAGAGGCACCTGGCTGCCGCTGGGAGAACGCTCCGTGTTCTCACTACTCAGTAAACAATCACAAACAACGTGTCTTACAGTTGAAAACAGAAGTTTAAGTTAAAACAGAAACACTCTGAAACTTTTCTGATGATTTTCTAAACAATTCTGTCGGGGAATTATATTTTTCTGAGACGAGTCGCTGTCTAAACATCACATGCATTACTATCATTAAGCTGCGAGGTGTGCTGAAGCCGTCATCAGCTAAGGGGAGGATGCTTCAGTGCATCAGGGGCAGCGAGGAATGAGAAAGTTGTGATCAGGCTGGAGATCACACCAGATTCGCTGCAGCAGGCATGAATCTGCGGGTCTGCAGCATCCCCTTCTTAACGTGACATCAGGACTTCCCATGTAGGTCCGCTCACCTGTTCGTCAGATCATTATTTCCTCGCCATGATCTTTTATCATCCCATCATCCTCCAGTCATCCAACTGGAACCAGTTAGTGTTCCTGATCATTCTCAGAATATGGCACGCCTGCTCTGGTGTTAAAAGTTAGTACATTTAAGTCCTAGATCATATTTGTGCCTGTTCTACTGTCATTTTGAAGGATTATTATTTATGTGTTTTTACTACATTATGAGTAGAGATGCTAATAAAAACTCCCAATTATACAAACAAGTGAAACTGGAAAAATTAATCTGGTGCAAAGTCAAATTTATTTCAGTCATTCAACTAGACAGTGTCATGACTCCCATCCTTTACCCTCATCTGCCTTATCATTTCCTCCTCATTCAGCTCACCTTGTCCTCTCACCAAGCTCCAGCCAAGCCCTGTTTTCCCCAGCAACCTCTGTCAGCTTCAATCAGCTCCATTCATTCCACCTGCTCCTGTAATGAGCCTCATCCCATACACCTGCTTCCCCTGCTATAAAAGAACCAGCCATCCAGTCAACAGATGCCAGATTATTACAGCCCTGCCAGTAATTCTCCAGCCATCCACCCTGCCTGATCTCAGCCTCCAGACCTCGTTTTTCTCCTGACCCCTGCCTTGCTCACTGCCTGCCATTTGGACCTTGCCTGTCTCTGAACCTGCCTCAACCTTGCTCTCCAGGTACCTCTGCCTTCAATAAAGACTTTTTTTATATATTTTTACTGTGTTGGCGTCTTCACGGGTCTTCAGAACTCGGTTCCTGACAGACAGAGACTATTTAAAGGCTCAGGAACCATTTGCAGGTGTTTTCTATTTGTAATTATAAATTTTAGTTGATTTGGGTTTTGTTTCATAGCACACAGGGACATTTGAATAATTAAAATGCATATTTTTATTAAAAGCTTTAGTTTACAGTAATAACCATGTCTAATGTTTGATTCTCTGTCTCATAATTTTAATTAAAATTTTACTTTGAGAGCACATTTTCCTGAACGATTAAAATGCGATTAATTGAGATTAATTAATTACAAAGCCTGTAATTAAAAATTTTTAATCAAGTCCCAGCCCTAAACATAACCCCATCAATGGTTGACAAGACTCATTTGATAAGAAATTTCTAAAGTTATGAAAGATCCGAACACCTTTTTAAAGCAGCAATTCAAATCATTATGTCCATAAATCCCAACTGGATAAGATGTCTGCTTATGGCAGGTAAACCAAGAAAAATAAAATCATTAGTAAGGATGTCCTTTATTGTTTAAAGATAAGGTGTTTTAGGGTCAAAACAAAACATGTAAACAGTCACAGAAAAGAAAAGGTTAACATATATTGACCCAGGACTGAATAAACTCAAACAACATGGACTAGTCATAATAAAAAACCATTAGATAAGAAAAAACTGTCTCAGCAACAGAAGAGAACAGAGTTTTAACCATGAACCCTGAATAGGGTAGGAAATCTATTTTCTAACAGGCTGGATCCACTGCGATTGCTTCAGGGTGAACGAAGGCCAAAAAAAACAAACAAATCTAGCTCTCACAACCCCTAAAACATCATATAATAAAAACCTGAATGCATGTATCTAACCCTAGCTGACTGACCTATTCAAAACAAGCAAAAGGGTAAACAAAATGGCAGTTCACCCTTACTGTAGCAGTACTAAACAAAATTTCACTAATGGTTGTACTGCGTTGTGTAGAATTCCAGCACAAAGATCAAAGAAAATGATAAAATAGAATGTGGTGAGAAGAACTCACCGTAAAATTTAAAAATAAGCCTCACAAAATCAGCTCATTACTCCAAAGAAATTGACAAAGATCAAAATTAAACCACTTCTTTCAAAATTAACCTAATTAGTCAAAACAGTAAAAGAAAACAGGTAAAAGAGTTCGTAATATTTGGCTTGGGTGTTTAGACTGCCAATGTAAACATTTGGTTTACATTCCAGAAAGGGACTGATATTGTTAAACTAAGACCATCGGAACCAAAACGTTTGACAAGTTAAAATGATTCATTCCCCCTGATGACACATGACCTGGGCCATGTGCCACCAGAGCGGCAGCTTTAAAAAGAACAGGTTTACCAAGTGAATCACATCCATCATATCTGAGACCCACTTCTCTGACTGTTCTCCAGGTTTGAACGGGTGCATCCTTTCAGCCGGCGGAGCGGAAGGAGCAGCTGCAGCTGAACCTGCCACTTCACCAGCTCCCCGATACGACGGGGGAGTTGGCCCAAGGGATAAATCATCGCATAGTTTTCTGAAGACGGACACATCCTTCCCTGCTTCGCCTTCGTTATCTTTTTGTTTCCCCTTCTCTCTGTCTTTTCTGTTCTGACTGCCCACCCGTCTTATCTGCCTCATCTCGCTGTTTCTCCCTTCCTCTGTCTTTTGATTTAGTATTCCCCATCGTATCTAAGATGTTTTGTTTACTGGTTTAGTAAAACAAGCTGGAAGAACTCCGATTAGTTCTAGTATGAAAATTATTAGAAAGACAATCAGACTGCTTATGAGGGCGTATAGTAAAATAATTCTTTCAGATAACATTTGGCAGCCACCGAAACAAATTAACGCTTCCCTCTTTCTTTCTCACACACACACAGCGAAACAGCAGCCCAACCTGTCACACAGCAAAACCACTCTCAAAGAAACACACACACGGCGAACTGGCAGCCGAACCTCCCCCAGCGAACCGGCAGCCGAACCTGTCACACGTAACACTCTCAAAGTCCCCGATACATGCACACCCCCACACACACACACATTAAAGATAAACAAATCCACCCCCTCACAGAAAGGAAACTTTCCCTGGTTCTTGGTATAACAGAGAAAAGCTCCGTCTGGACTTCACTAGGGAGCTTTCGTGATAACAAAACTGCAGACTTAAAAGGTCGAACCTCCCTGCCGGAGGCACAGAATAATAACAAAATATGAACATGGAATAAACCTTCGTTTCAATTAAAAAACACCAGATGGTACCAAGACAAAATCATTTTCCATGCATCTAATACTGTTTTTATCCAACAGTCAGTATCAGACTATCAGTCTTGTCACTGATATGTAACTTAATATTACAAAAACCTATAAAAAATTGATTAAAACTAATAAAAACTAAACTGAAACTAAAAAGTAGATGAAACTAAAACCAAACAGAACAAAAACAAACCTTGAAAATAAAGACTAATGAAAAATGCTAAATAATTAAAATATTGGCCACCCACAGTTTATGCATGTTAAAATGTAAAATTTCCAGCTAAAATTAGAATAAACTACTAAAAATATCAATGAAAAAAGATTAATTTGTTAATAGACTACATAGAATTTTATTCAAGAAAAGAAAAAAATCTCAGTGTGCCTTTAACAGAGCTTTGGAATTAGCTTATGTGTTCAATGAGTGGGTGACATTTTTTTTTTCAGTGCGGTGGTCTCTGGTAGGATTGAATACCTCGTAAATGGTTCTCAGGGGGAACAATTATACTGTTGCACCATTTCTCAGACCTAAAATTTTCTCACATCACAGCTGAGCTTTAGGCCCTGTCCACACGTAGCCGAGGATCTGCCAAAACGGCCTGTCATCCACACGAAAACTGAGTTTTTTCACACGAAAACGGATCTTTTTAAAAGCTCCGGCCAAAGTGAAGATCTGCGTGTTCTCCGTTTTGGGTGTTTGCGTGTGGACAGACAAAACCGGAGTTTTAAGGTCTGCAACGTCACTTTCCGCGACAAAAAATGCTGACATCACGTGTGCGACCTGTGTTTACACTAGCCGACAGCATGGATGCCCTCAGAGCTGCGCTCGCTTTATCAATTGTCCAAGCGCTTTTTGCTTGTTTGTTTTTGCAAGCGGAATTACTGCTCCTTGTGGAAGACCACAGACGAAGGACGAGGTTAAGAACGGGGGAAGTACTGCCGCCTACAGGTCTGGCATGTCCTTAACAACGTGTTTATCCGGGTACGTGTGGACAGTTTTTTTTTTTTTTGTAAACGAGGTGGTGTGGATACAAGCTTTTGGAGGGGCGGATATTCGTTTAAAAAAAAACGGCTACGTGTGGACTAGGCCTTAGACGGCGGGTTTTGGAGTCTTATTTCGTGATATGTGGACATCTCGCCCCAGATTGGATAACAGCAGTGCAACTCTACCACTGACTTGCAACATGGATATTTTATCTCTCAAAATACACGAGCCTGGAGGACCTTCTGCTGTGAGGTGTAGTTGCTAATGCTGACAATTAGCTTAAACTAGCCGAGACGTCCACTGCTGATTACCGGACGTTAAAACAACAACAGTCTTCCCTGTCATGAATCAAGATCGTCGAGTCCATGAATTCTAATTCACAGTGTGACAGATCTGTGAGGATTTTCAAATACATGAGTTTCATCTATTTTCTATCAGAAGCTAATGCAGGAGAAAGGTGTAGGAGACTATTTTCATGTTCAGTCTGCATGAAAAACTCAGAGTGGTCAATTATAATTAAAAAAAGGTAAAGAAAATATCTGGCTAAATCTCATACAGACCAAACTTGGAAAATACTTCTCACTTGTTTTGAGTTCTCATGTGATAACTCAAGTTACTACTGACAGTAAAACATTTACCACAAGTGTTAACTGGATATGGCTTCTCACCTGTGTGAGTTCTCATGTATTTAGTCAAGATATCACTGGCAGTAAAACATTTACCACAAGTATTACATAGATATGGCTTCTCACCTAGCGATGGGTACCGAATTCTGAGCTTTTTAAGGCACCGACCGAATTCCATAGTACCGACTGCGCACCGATTCACTAGCCTGGCAAGCCAGACTAAATAAATGTATTATTTAGTCTGGCCACGCTCCATTGACGGCTTTCGGTTGTGGGGCGGGTTCTACCCTTGTCTTTCAAATGATCTCCGCATTCCACTGGACAATGAATGTGACATACTCTTGTTTCACTCTGTTGCATCATCCCACCTACCAGGCATATAGAGTGCCCTGATTGGCCCACCATTATGGACCAATAACAGCTCTTTATGTGTTTGAAACCCCTCTAGAGAGCTGTGATTGGCTAGCCAGAGTCCTGGTAGGAGCTGCTGAGGTTCCAATGGAGCATGCCTAGACCATTCTTTGCAAAGAAAGAATTTGGTCTAGTTCACTAGGCTACCGATTCACTTCATTTGAAACTGTGCCTCATTTCGGTACCCGTCCTTCATAACGAGAACTTGCCTAGACAGCTGCGCATGCGCAAGAGCGTTATGTCGTTGGTCGCTGCGAGCCAGTTGTAAACAGGGCAGCATGGTAGAAATAACGCACGCTAAAGCTTGGGTCCACTTCACTAAATGTGATGGGTAACTGGGTGATGATGAAACCAGCGACAACGATCTAAGTGAGACATCCTCATCTTAATCTGCTCCTGTAGGTAAATAAAATGTTTAAGATAACGTTAGCTTGATATGTTAGCTTCCGTTCCACTAATGGTGGGTTCACTTTCTCCTCAGAACTCCGATTTTCCGACTAAAAGGACATGAACACGCTCTAAAGTTTGGCTTCACTTTACTAAATGCGACGGGTGATTGGGTGGAGATGAAACCAGCAACAATGATCCAAGTGTGAGGCATCATTGTTTAAATCTGCTCCAGCAGCTAAATAAACTGTTTAAGATAACGTTAGCTTGATATGTTAGCTTCCATTGCCACCATTGTTATCAGCTAATAGTGCGTTCGCTTACTCCTCGGAAATTCTAACTTCCCAGTAGGAAAAATCAAATGAAAAAGGACGGCAAAAGGAATGAAGATACACAGTAAATTTAGTTCACAGTAAAGATGTTTGCTTCAGTTTAATTATCAGCTTATAAAACTACAAGGTCGATGTTAAAATACAAACTGTTGTATGCTATTCATTGTGATATTTAATAAATATGGTTATATATTGAGAAAAATATATATTTAATTATAAAAGAATTAAAATATTAAACACTCAAAAGTATCTAAAATTGGTACCGTTAAGTACCGGTATCGATTCCTAGGTACCGGGAATTAGTACCGAATCGATTCAAATGTCAAAGGTACCCATCCCTATTCTCACCTGTGTGAGTTCTCATGTGATAAGTCAAGCCACTACTGGCAGTAAAACATTTACCACAAGTTTTACATGGATATGGCTTCTCACCTGTGTGAGTTCTCATGTGTTTAGTCAAGTCACTACTGACAGTAAAACATTTACCACAGGTGTTACATGGATATGGCTTCTCACCTGTGTGAGTTCTCATGTGTTTAGTCAAGTCACTACTGGCAGTAAAACATTTACCACAAGTGTTACATGGATATGGCTTCTCGCCTGTGTGAGTTCTCATGTGTGTAGTCAAGTCACTACTGGCAGTAAAACATTTACCACAAGTGTTACAAGGATATGGCTTCTCACCTGTGTGAGTTCTCATGTGTGTAGTCAAGACACTACTGGCAGTAAAACATTTACCACAAGTGTTACATGGATATGGCTTCTCACCTGTGTGAGTTCTCAAGTGTTTAGTCAAGGCACTACTGGCAGTAAAACATTTACCACAAGTGTTACATGGATATGGCTTCTCACCTGTGTGAGTTCTCATGTGTTTAGTCAAGTCACTACTGGCAGTAAAACATTTACCACAAGTGTTACATGGATATGGCTTCTCACCTGTGTGAGTTCTCATGTGATAAGTCAAGTTACTACCGACAGTAAAACATTTACCACAAGTGTTACATGGATATGGCTTCTCACCTGTGTGAGTTCTCATGTGTTTAGTCAAGGTATTACTGGCACTAAAACATTTACCACAAGTGTTACATGGATATGGCTTCTCACCTGTATGAGTTCTCATGTGTTTAGTCAAGACACTACTGGCAGTAAAACATTTACCACAAGTTTTACATGGATATGGCTTCTCACCAGTGTGAGTTCTCATGTGTGTAGTCAAGTCACTACTGGCAGTAAAACATTTACCACAAGTGTTACATGGATATGGCTTCTCACCTGTGTGAGTTCTCATGTGACGACATAAAACAAACTTGTGAATGAAAGATTTTCCACAGAGCTTACAATAAAATGGCCTCTCACCTATGTGAGCCCTCTTGTGCTTTTTCAGTGTCTGAACATCTACATCGTCTCTGTGATCTTCGCTTCGCAGACGTCTTTTATTACGTGTCAGTTCTTCATTGCTGTTTGATTCTGAGTTTTCTTTCTTGCATCCATCCTGATCTTGGTTCTCTGCTTCTGTAGAATTCTGACTCAAGGGTTGCTTCCTTTTGGATTCTGGATCATGGCAGTATGTTTCGTTACAAGGATAAGTCCCTACGAAGGTTACATGTTTTTGATTCAAAAGGAACTGCCCTTCATGCTGATGGATATAGAGTTCTGGCTGGTCCTCTGTGATCAGTAGATCTTCTGGTTCCTCCTGGTCCAAACGGGAGGTTGACTCTTGGTCAGAGCGCTGCTGGTCAGTCAGAACCTCTTCTTTTTCCCAGATATGATGCTTTGGAAGTTCTGGACAGGTAAAAAGAAAAAGAAAAATGTTGAGTAATGTGGCAATTAAAAATGTTCCAATGAAGGCAGGAAGTTCAGGGCTCTAGAATGGGATGATTCTGGTCACAAACGTGACTCCATTTCTCAATGGTGCACCTACATACAGTTGTGGTCAGAAGTTTACATACACTTGTAAAAAAGTATAATATAATGGCTCTACTGAGTGTCCCGTTATTTCTAAAACTCTGACTTTTCTCTGATAGAGTGATTGGAACAGATACTTCTTTGTCACAAAAAACATTCATGAAGTTTGGTTCTTTAATGTCTTTATTATGGGTTAACAGAGAAAAGTGATCACATTTGCTGGGTCACAAATATACATACAGCAACATGAACTAGCAATTTTGGTGACTTAGAAACGTGTCAGTGAACTGAGCTTCATAGCATGGCCTCTTAACTTCTTGTGAGGGATTATGAGTGAGTACAGCTGGTGACTTCTCTTAGGCCAGGTAAATAGGGCTCAATGGATACAAACACCCAAAAACGCTACAATGGGAAAGTCAAAGGAGCTCAGCATGGATCTGAAAAAGCGAATTATTGACTTGAACAAGTCAAGAAAGTCACTTGGGGCCATTTCAAAGCAGCTGCAGGTCCCAAGAGCAACAGTGCAAACAATTGTTTGTAAGTATAAGATGCATGGCACTGTTTCATCACTGCCAAGATCAGGAAGAAAACGCAAGCTATCACCTGCTCCTGAGAGAAAAATGGTCAGGATGGTAAAGAGTGAACCAAGAATCACCAAAAAGCAGATCTGCCATAAATTAGAAGCTGCTGGAACACAGGTGTCATTGTCCACAGTCAAACGTGTTTTGCATCTCCATGGACTGAGAGGCTGCCGTGCAAGAAGGAAGCCCTTGCTCCAAAAGCGGCACCTTAAGGCTCGACTGAAGTTTGCTGCTAATCACATGGACAAAGATAAGACCTTCTGGAGAAAAGTTCTGTGGTCAGACGAAACGAAAATTGAGCTTTTTGGCCACAATGCCCAGCAATGTTTGGAGGAGAAAAGGTGAGGCCTTTAACCCCAAGAACACCATGCCTACAGTCAAGCATGGTGGTGGGAATATTATGCTGTGGGGCTGTTTTGCTGCCAATGGAACTGGTGCTTTATAGAGAGTAAATGGGATAATGAAGAAGGAGGATTACCTTCACATTCTTCAACATAACCTAAAATCATCAGCACGAAGGTTGGGTCTTGGGCGCAGTTGGGTGTTCCAACAGGACAATGACCCCAAACACACATCAAAAGTGGTAAAGGAATGGCTAAATCAGGCTAGAATAAGGGTTTTAGAATGGCCTTCCCAAAGTCCTGATTTAAACCCCATTGAAAACATGTGGATAGTGCTGAAGAAACAAGTCCATGTCAGAAAGCCATCAAATTTAACTGAAGTTCACCAATTCTGTCAAGAGGAGTGGTCAAAGATTCAACCAGAAGCTTGCCAGAAGCTTGTGGATGGCTACCAAAAGCGCCTAATTGAAGTGAAAATGGCTAAAGGACATGAAACCAAATATTAGCACTGCTGTATGTATATTTGTGACCCAGCAAATGTGATCACTTTTCTCTGTTAACCCATAATAAAGACATTAAAGAACCGAACTTCATGAATGTTTTTTGTGACAAAGAAGTATCTGTTCCAATCACTCTATCAGAGAAAAATCAGAGTTTTAGAAATAACGGGACAATCAGTAGAGCCATTATATTATATTTTTTACAAGTGTATGTAAACTTCTGACTACAACTGTATCTACACTCAGGTTGCACCAGCCGAAGAGTTAGAGAGATGCTGGTCTGTCAGAACCTTCTACTGTGGAAGCTCTGGACAGGTTAAAGTAAAACTGGAAAACGTTGAGTGACGTAACAATTACAAAAAGAATAAATAGAAAAAAATATATATATATACCTCCTCCTTCAACCGCCACCTTATCGTGGTGGAGGAGTTTGAGTGCCCGAATGATCCTAGGAGCTATGTTGTCTGGGGCACTTTGTGCCCCTGGTAGGGTCTCCCATGTCAAATTGGGTCTTAGGTGAAGAGTGAGACAAAGAACGCTTCAGAGGAATTTTCATGGATGTAAATTCAAATAGTCGGAGGACCCGACCCGGAGGGTTACCGGTAGGGCTGCACGACATTAGGAAAACCTGCGACATTCGATAACAGTGATTAATATTCAGATATAGATATTACTCACGATAAATGAACAAATACTAAAGTATGCAGTGTTGATGTCATCTGGCATGTGACGTCTGCTCTGGGTTCAAAGCAAACAAAAACTAATGCATGAATTCCATTACAACATAACATTTTTACTGAAAAAATATGCAGCTGCACCTGCTACTGTATTAGCAGCAAAACAACAAAATGCATGCATGCAGTTTCGCATGCATGCAGTTTCTCAGTGACTTTAAAACATCAACTCCACCATAAAACTTTTTCTGATGCTCCAAATAAAGAAAAACATCCCTTACCAGGGTTTTTTGAATAAAAAAAAATCTGAAAATAAGTTTAAATGTTAAATAATAGTTAACATCACTTAAATGCAACAGCAAATTCTCTCATTGCTACTGAACATTTTCTCCACTTATGTGGTTATGATATAAGGCTGTTGCTATAATTGGGAAGTGAACTGTGCTGGGCCAAACTAGGAGAAAATTAAGATTTTTTGAGGGAAAAACAATTGTCTACCTTTCAGAAGAGGAACTGGCAAAAAAAAATACATGGAAAATATGTGAAAACATTTGGTTTTAACCCCAAATTGAACAAGTTAACCTAGATCTTAAAAAGCAGCTCAGATGATGAAACTGCATCTATGATTCTGATAACAAGCTAACAAATTGAACTAGCTCCTCTTAAGATAACCGGCTAGCAGAGCTACTGACTGACAGTTTATGTGCAGCAGCAAATCAACTATCCTGATTAACAAGGTTATAAAACCTCATAAATGAAAAATCACTTTGATGTGTGGGGGAACTTTTCCAGGCCCTCTTTAGCAGGGTGGGACTGGGAGGAGAGTGCTGTAGCCTTTTAGCTGGAAGCTAACCGGAGCCTGGTGCTAACACTAGCGACATGAAGGTGGGTTGGTTCACCGGCACATGTCGGAGTCAGCCCGGTAAAAATGATTAACGACACCGAGCGGAGTCACGTTCACGTTTGAAAGCAGCGCTGAATCCAGAAACATCAGCACAAAGTGCGTTCATTGCTCTGAGCCAGCATGACGAACAAGGGAACAGCGCCGCAAACTCTGTTCAGGTGTAGCTTTCCAAAAGGGTCTATGTAGGCGGCGGGCGTATTACGTGAACGGACCCATCTGATTGGCCGCATATCAGAAGGACTACATTTGATTGATCAAATAATATTTAAGCGTAAAAAACAGAGCTGGTTTACAAAAAGTTGATGTATGACATGGATGGAAATGTTTGAACCAAACATTTATCGCTGTTTTTGCCATGCTTTGCGATGGGCCTATCACACTTCCCGTTATCGCGATGACGATAATTTTTCGATATATTGTGCATCCCTAGTTACCGGGGTCCCCACCCAGGAGCCAGACCTGGGCTTGGGGTCCGTGAGCGAGCGCCTGATGGCCGGGCTTTCGCCCATGGGCCCCGGCCGGGCCCAGCCCGAAGCGGATTCATGGGCTCATCCAACTGTGGACCCACCACCCGCAGGAGGAACATGAAGGGTCCGGTACAGTGTGGATCGGGTGGCAAACCGAGGCGGGAGCCTTGGCGGTCAAATCCCCGGACATGGAAACTGGTTTTTGGGACATGGAACATCACCTCGCTGGCGGGAAGGAGCAGGAGCTTGTGACAGAGGTTTAGCGGTAATGGCTAGATATAGTCGGACTCACCTCGACACATAGCATTGGCTCTGGAACCCAAGTCCTTGAGAGGGGCTGGACACTCTCCTTTGCTGGAGTTGCTCCGGTGTCGCGTGCCCGTCCCATTTACCGGTTCCTTTAAAACCCAGTTCCGTTAGAACTTATGAGACGGTGCATCCATCAGGGTTCGGGGGTGTATCGACGAGTTTAATCGTACTAGATCCGGGTTTGGACTATCTAATTAGAATCTTGTCTTTTATTTTAAAGGTGAAATGACTTGCACGAATAGCCAGCCCCAGAGTACTACACTTCTTTTAAACTCGTTACCTTTTGGTTAAGATACTAGAGAGAAGTCTGGAGGCAAGCCAAGCCTCTCAGCAATTGTTTGGGCTACCCGGAATTAATTGCGCCTCTAACAGCTTGTGTGGGAGGTTGGCAACTATAAAATGATTTATGCTAGTTGATCAGGCTATCATAAGTTTATCAATTTATTTATTAATCCAACCTTCCAGCTGATTAGAGACTTTTTCAACCTGCAATCAGAGCCAAAATAACCTCGAATATTTTGCTTTTATCGCCCTTAAGACAACTCGTTACTCGCAAGGAGGGAGAAGTTAAAACTTCCCTTATCTTAAGGTTTCTTTATATTATTCTGTTATAAACTGTAAAGTAAGTCCTGATAATTCAGAGACCGATCTTCGACATGCTTACCTCTGTGCAATTTATGGCCAGGGCCCCAAACGTGAAGCTCTAGAGAAAACCTGAAAGAATCAGGATTATGTTTCTTTTTCAAAAAAGTTTATTACAAAATCAAAAATACAAAAATGGGTAAATAAAAAACAACTGCTATCCCCCACGGAGGAATTAGTTCAAAATGATTAAATAAGAGTTAGTTTACACTAGCTCCTGTCTTCTCAGAATCTCCCCAAGAACGAAGCCCCGCTCGATCTGAGCTGCATCCTTTTATATCACTTCTGAGACTGCTCTAAACAATGTAAGAGTCACAAGTCATTCTCTCCTGACAGTTTAGGTCAAGGGGTCATTTACCAAATACACTTTTTTAGCTCTACATAAGACATTTAGTATCATTTCACTACATGCAGTATTCACATGAGGGCACAAAAGTTACATGCTGCACTCCTGGAATG